CAGATCAAAACACATTAAAAACAAAATTCTATACTAAAACAGAGCAGTGTAAATGTATTAGGCTTAAAACTAATATTAAAATAGGTGTTTGTTGTCTACTGCCTCGCTTGGGGTAAATTGATTCCCGTATTCAGAATGAAAAGATAATTCCAATAACATGATTCTTTTTGTTTACACAGAACAAATCCTAGCTGTATTTGACAGAGAGACAAAGCGACCGGTCAGAGCCGAGTTACTCCTCTTCACAGCCGCGGTCCCCTGAGCTGTGTGCGCACATCAGCGTTCATAAATTAGCCCTGGTCCGACCTGCATTGCTTTTCCTTTGCAAGACAGGCTGCTGTGAAAAGCAATTTCTTCAGTCTTCATGAATATTAACAGAGAATAATCGGGAGCTCGGATTTGGTAAAAAGGTCAATGGACTTTTTTGTGGCGCCTGGAATAGTTTCAGCACAGATTAATGTCTCAACTGTGGCACTGACAGCAGAACGGAATATGAACGGGACCACAGAGGATGATGTAAACATTGCACAGACAATATACAAGAGCTGTCTGGAGAATACAAAGGAATTCATTTTCAGTATGAAGGCTGAATTATACCATGACTCCCTGAACACCTCACTACTGTGTGAGCTACACCAAGAATAACAGATACATATACTGGTTGTTCTGTTTTTTAATGCAGACATAATCATCAGATCATTCAGAGTTATAGAGTTATTTAACTTACGGTGATAATTTAGGAAATGTGGTCACATTAAAGGCCCGGGAGCCGATGACAGACACAGTTAGCGATCAGCATTTATTTCTTCCTTTGAGCCAAAACGTCTGTGCAACGCTACGAATGAAAAAAGAATTCAACAGTCTTACTGACAAAAACAAACTTCCTTCAAAGAATATCCTCCCGAGGCCAAGAAAGTTCATTCACGGACCGGATCTGGCCCCCGGGCCTTGACTTGCCTTTTCAAGGCAAGTTTATTTGTTAAGCACAGTTCATACACGAGGCAACTTAAAGTTCTTTAAAAACAAATACGAAAATATTGAGCAGGATGAACTGAAAAGTGACCACAAAAGGAAGCTACATGTTGTTTTTCCATCTGTGTTTAAATCAAAAAAATACTTTTTTTTGTTACCAAACTATTGTGGGCGAAGTGTCAGTTGAAAAGCTGCTGAAAGTGTGTATCTTTATGTGGGAAAGTGGACTTTTATAAGGACTCAATGGAAGAAAACAATTGCCGGCAACCAGTAAATGTCATTTTTGGGGCTTACCAACATATTTCTTTCTATTATAGTTTTGAACTATTCTTTTAAGATGCCGAGAGCCTCTGCTGTGTTGCAAACATCCTAACATTCTCCAAAATAATTTTCACATTTATAACTTGCTGAACTGAGTTTTGAACTTCAGTAGTTCTTTTAGAGCAGTACTTTCTGTTTTATTATTACTGTTAGCTGAAATATTAAGCAATGTGTTACTTAGTTAACACAAACACATAAGTTCACAGCACGGAGCATGATACCGGCGATATGTCATCAAGTAAGTAGATTGAGTCATAAAGCGGATTGTAAAGTGTCAAGTGTGTGGACCTGGATGGTCATGGGCACACAACTTGCTAACTCATTTTAATATTGTGTAAAAGTGTATTTCATATCCCATACATATGCAGTGTGAAGTTGACCTGGAGATATCTTCTGTATATTGCTGTGAAAATACTCACTTTATGACTCATTTGAATAATCCATGACTTCAATGAGACATATGTTGTGTTTTTGTGGTTTATAGAGAAGAGTCTGGACCCTGTCAGAGTGTTATCAGTGCTGCATAAGGAGTATGTGGACGCACAGTACCTCATAAGTCAAGTCCACTCAGCCTGAAACCCGCTCTCACACTTCTGAAGGTCAGTCTGATAGAATGGGCAAGGATAGAGGGTTGATCACAGCTTTACTTTGCTAGACACTTCAGCTACACACCCCCATCTGTATGTGAAAAAAACTGCACTCAGGAGAAAGCTAATTATAGTTAAACAAAAGGTCAGTCTCTCTCTGCGTAAATGTCCTCCTAACATAACCGCCACTTCTACTGTTGAGTGGATGATGTTAAGGCTTTAGAGAATTTTCCTGAAGTTGGATGTGAAACAAACAAACGGGTCTCTGAAACTGTATAAAAAATCAATTCAATTAATTGTATTCTTGTATTGCCCTAAATCACAACAGTAGTTATTTCAGAAGGACTTAAAGATGCTATACCCAATTTTTTTGTTTATGAGTTCATAGAAATGCTTATTACTACATACAAGTTGTATTATAACCCGTAATTTAATTTAAAACCTAAGCTCATTGATTCAGTTTGTGTATGAATTCCGGCCGTGAAAAGTGCTGAGTATAGACAAAGCTTGACGCCCGCTCTCCTCCAATCACAGAACGAGGCCTCAGAACGAGCCTCTACAGCGCTGCTAAACACAGTAGCATGTTAGCAGAACTTGCTGTAACTGCATACACAGCAAATCAGCCCAAACGACACAACAGTGAGGAAGAGAAGAGGGAACTCAAGCGAAAAAATGATCAAAGAAGAAATCAAGCCCCGGGTGAACATAGCTAGCTTACATCGTATCCTCTGGAGAGACTTGTCTATGGGAGAGACCTGCGGGACCGCCTCGGACTATCTATGCTTGGACTACATTCAGACGCGGAACTAGCGGTAATCTTTCAGTTAAATATTTTGTTAGCAGTGCGTTGCTTTTGAACCATTTCATCAGTGATTGTTGTACAGTTTACAAGAAGTTGCGTCGTGCTAATGTTTGCATATAGATCGCAAATAAAACTAGATGGCTCCGTGGAATGAGAGCGTAGGGGAAATGAGAAGCCTGTGAGCGAGTTTGGGGGCGGTGCTAAACATTCAAACCTTGCAGAAACAAAACAGATATGGCTCCTTTAATTTTTTATTTAATTTTTAAGGTCCATTTTAATACAATTTCCTCTGGTACTGCTGACACGGTTTTTGAAAACGGGTCCATAAATGCAAGTCATCAATGATAAGATGGCTATAGTCAATCGTTTGCAAGCCCAATTGCTTCATAACGGAGCCTTCTTTACCAACAGTAGGTCCAGTATCTATCGAGGCCACTCATACTGCAGCCTAAATTTATACATTTCCCATGAAACCTTTTTTTCAAACTTTTTAAGGCCTGCATGGTTCGTGCATCCACCAAATATCAGAGAGCATTGACTTGAATGAGCAGCCATCTCGGAAACCCGGGATTTGGATATTTTCCACCTCTGACTTAAACTAGCATTTTACAACAAAGATAACAAGTAGATCTGATACCGTATAACCCAGAAGTGAAATGATGTCACACTCAACAACCCAATAGCTCTTGTTTATGGACTAACATTGTGTGAGATTTAAAAAAAAAACGCCTGTACAGATCAACCTATATAAAATCCTTGTCCAGACATGATTATCGACCTCTCCCACACACATACTGTAGCCTTGATGGTCTGTGGCTCTGGGCGGAGAGCTTCTTAATGGGAGCGTTCTGTTGGACACAGGCTTTGGATCTGCACCTGCTGCTGCTGCTGCACACAGTGAACCAGAGAGGAATGACCCCCCACAAAGGAACATCATTATAAAGGTAAAATGTATGATATGTCAGTCCGAGGTACAGTGCCTTCTCCCGCAGAAGGTCTGAAGGTCTGAAGGTCAGATCTGTTCTCAAGGTTTACCTCTGGAGCTAACACCGTACTCATCGTAATAATTTCACTTGGATGTCACATTAAATCTCTGTATCAAGGCAAACATTGGAACAAACAAACAAGACTTTTTTGGGCATAGATTCAGAATAGTATCTACATTTTTATCCAAACTTTAGCTGTATAAAACTTACAATAGCAAACCACTAAAGTTATATTAAGATTAAGATTATGAAAAAACATATCTCTCAATAATCTTGGCCAATTCATTTTTATTTATTTTGTATCTTACATGAATATAGAATATATTAGTAAGTAAGTAAGTAATCTTTATTTATATACCGCCTTTTCACTGCACATCGGAGTCTCAAAGCAGTTTACAATTGTTATTTTTGGGAGTGGGGGTGCCAGTTCAGGAGGCACATGCCAGACCTATTGTACATATTTTTAGTGGTAGGGGAAACCGGAGCACCCGGAGGAAACCTACGCAGACACGGGGAGAACATGCAAACTCCACTCAGAAAGGCCCTGTTCCGACCGGGATTTAAACCCAGAACCTTCTTGCTGAGAGGCGAGAGTGCTAGCCACTCAGCCACCGTGCTTGAATATAACAGGTCAATACTGGCAGTTTTTATATGAATGAACACCCAGGACAGCTTGTTGTAATTCATTCCTTGTTTGTTTGTGCTATCAGTGTTATAATTAACTTTGGTAATTGACTTTTCACACTTCAACTGTTTGCAAATAGCTACAAAATAATGGCTTTTTGCTGATAAATTCAGTATATTGACGTCATAATAACTCTGGGCAGCTGCATTGGTGCAAAGTTGAAATAATATTTGATTGACTGGGAATTTATGGATATAATGTGCCCATAAAATAGTCCAACACATTTACTGTAGGTTAGAAGTAACATTAGGGTTCGTGACAAATCCCAAATCTGTGGTAACAATATGCATTATCAAACTTCCCATCACTGGGTCTGTCATAAAGTCAAATCAGTGGATGGGAAATTTGATAACGCATATTGGTATTTTGTATGTTAAATTTTCACAAATATCTACAGTTGTAGACAGAGCTGGGTTTCAAGTAGAAATAATAAAATCTTCCATCTCTACTGCGAACACTATCTCACTTGCTTTCACTCCAGTTTTCCTCCTCCATCTGAGCTCAGTTAAATGCATTCAAACACGCCTTACCTCATCTTCATCCAGCTTTTCACCTCGTGCTGCACCCTTCCTCTTAACACTCACCATCTCAATTATGGGACTTTCAATCTCACCGTCATCAGCTCACTATTCTACCACCACCAGGGTCTAAACCACCACCAGGTCTAAACCACCACCAGGGTCTAAACCACCACCAGAATCCAAACCACCAGAGTCTAAACCACCACCAGGGTCTAAACCACCACCAGAATCCAAACCACCAGAGTCTAAACCACCAGGGTCTAAACCACCACCAGAGACTAAACCACCAGAGTCTAAACCACCACCAGAATCCAAACCACCAGAGACTAAACCACCAGAGTCTAAACCACCAGAGTCTAAACCACCAGAGTCTAAACCACCAGGGTCTAAACCACCACCAGGGTCTAAACCACCACCAGGGTCTAAACCACCACCAGGGTCTAAACCACCACCAGAATCCAAACCACCAGAGACTAAACCACCAGAGTCTAAACCACCAGAATCCAAACCACCAGAGTGTAAACCACCAGAGACTAAACCACCAGAGTCTAAACCACCAGAGTCTAAACCACCAGGGTCTAAACCACCAGAATCTAAACCACCAGGGTCTAAACCACCAGAGTCTAAACCACCAGAGTCTAAACCACCAGAGTCTACACCACCAGAGTCTAAACCACCAGAGTCTACACCACCAGAGTCTAAACCACCAGGGTCTAAACCACAAGGGTCTAAACCACCAGGGTCTAAACCACCAGGGTCTAAACCACCAGGGTCTAAACCACCAGGGTCTAAACCACCACCAGAGTCTAAACCACCAGGGTCTAAACCACAAGGGTCTAAACCACCAGGGTCTAAACCACCAGGCTCTAAACCACCACCAGAGTCTAAACCACCAGAGTCTAAACCACCAGGGTCTAAACCACCAGGGTCTAAACCACCAGAGACTAAACCACCAGAGTCTAAACCACCAGAGTCTAAACCACAAGGGTCTAAACCACAAGGGTCTAAACCACCAGAGTCTAAACCACCAGAGTCTAAACCACCAGGGTCTAAACCACCAGGGTCTAAACCACCAGTGTCTAATTTTTTTTAATTCATAATCTCTATTCAATGAACCCCTGCATACATCATCATTTCTGCCAAACCCAAAATCAAGCAGTAACTAATGAACAAACATATGCCGACAAACATCACTAAATGTTCTCAAATCTTCCCAGATAATAAAAATCATCATAAAAAACGATCTGTGTGAGAGATGTTTTTGTGTGCGACACTGACTGATATTTATGGGTCATGAAGATACGACCTTGGGGAAAATGTACAGTGAGATAATTGGGGCAGTCAGGACTTGTCGAACAAATAAACTCATTTCTTCACAATGACTTTATTTGACAACTCTAACTATTCCTTTTGGCAATATTTACCCATCTCATCATCACATACAACAACATTTCTTGTTAAGCCCTCCTTTAACAAGAGGAGGGGTGGGTGGGGGGGTTCACGAGTCTGTAGACACCGTGCTAATGCAAACCAGATGTTCAACTTGTGTCCTCTCTCTGAAATGAATGGGTCCACGGGGAGAAGCCCAAAAAGAGCGTCTCGTGGGACATTCCAACCCGGAGTCTAGAAACCTATTGGTCCATATTGAAACAACATGCTCCAAGATAAACTGCGAGAAAAAACCGGGGGGCTCAAATAAATGGTTGGGACCCGACGGAGGGTTTAGCTCATCCTCTAAGGAAAACAGCGCTGTGCAGAGTGACTGACACGTTTGATGACTGTGGCGCCAGGGAACCTCGATTCCAGCCCACTTGCGGCTTTTGCAATAGGAAGTATCTTTTCTCCTCTGATGTCACACAAAAAGCTCCCGGCGTTGGTGATTATACTTTTTCCAAATTGTTGTATTTATTTTTCCCCTCTCCTTGCAACTTTCTGGCGTATCAAGTAAACTCTGGGTGGAAAGACATATTTCTAGTGCGCGTTCGTTGGTCGGGAACTCGCAAAGTTCAAAAAGATTTCATGCGTGACTTAGCGACATCAGATCTGACCGCGCGGCTCCATCTTGATCTGTTTACTTTGTGTATAGACTTGAAATGTGATTTATGGGGATGAGATAATGGTGGGCTGCAATAGTTGAGGCCGGATTGGTTCTTTTCAGATGTTCAGAAATGTCTTATTGAAGGATCTGAGGCTTTGTTGGGATCACAGAGGCGAAGTGAAAAAAAAATGAAAAAGACATTGCAATGATTAAAGTCGTCAGTGATCGGGCGATGGTGTAAAAGAAATGTTGCAGAAAACTATTTGGGTTGGGGATAACGCTTTGATATCATAAAGTCACAACCGTGGTAAGAAGTGCAATTATTGGGCTGTAATTTGATCAAAATCACCCCATAAAGATGTTGCTGAAGAAAGAAAATAATGAAAGGCAGTGTTGTGTTTGCAAAGAGATTGAAATCAGTTTGTCCTTTTTGAATTGTGAAAGTGTGAGTATATGATAGAATTGTGTAGTGTTTTTAAGCTGCTGGACAATAGTCAAGAGCTATAACTGCTTGCAAGTCAATTATTTTCTTATCTTCTTTATACAGTATATCCGGGTTAGCACTCTCGCTTCTCAGTAAGAAGGGTTTGGTTGAAACAGGGTTTTTCTGAGTGGAGTTTGCATGTTCTCCCGTGTTTGTGTAGGTTTCCTCCGGGTGCTCTGGTTTCCCCTACCACTAAAAACATGCACACTAGGTAAATCCTCCGGCTCCGGTTGTCCTGACCAAGCCAAGCATCAACATCTGGTTCCCGGGCGCTGTTACTACGGCGACCACTGCTCCTGACGAAGGCCATAGTGGTATCAGGATGGGTCAAATGCAGAGGACAAATTTCCCTACAGGGGCAATAAAGTGAACATTTACATTTATAATGTATGTTTATGTGGGTTAGAATTTAAACAAAAAAATCTGTTATGATAGAGGAAAAATAATAACGTGAAATGCGTGTCCACTACAGTTTGTGAATAAAAATAGAATCTGAAAATCTGCTTATAACATTTTTTTTTTTGATTATTTCAGTAGTGGATCCGGCACACAAAGTGATATGTCCATTCATCCATCATGTTCTTCCGCTTCATCCCTTGCCGGGTCGCAGGGGTAGCTGTATAAGCCCGAGCCACTTGAATTGGCTTCTTTCGACTCAAAGAAGCAGCGGCTCTACTCCGAGCTCCTGCCGTGTTACTGAGCTCCTCTCCTTATCTCTGAGGGAGTGCCCAGCCATCCAGTGAGTCTATGGGAAATGTAGATCTGAAGAGGGTGTTTTGGTCACTCTTGTCTCAGTATACATGCATGTTCAGACCTCTCTCGTCTCAAACTGGTGCCTGAACACGTCCCCACGTACATAACCATTATTACCCCTCAAATGTGTCGCAGTTGTAATCGCTTTATGTGGATATATTGGTTCCCATGTGTTTTTTTATCAATTGATTTAGATTGTAGTTGAGTGATTCTCTCTCCTCCTACTTAAACACAGAGGCTATAGGAAGGACACTTAGAGCTGCATATATTTTTGTTACATTTATTCACATAGCCTATTTTGATTTGCAATTACTTGTTTTGATTGATATGGGACGGGGAAGAAAAAAAAATAGCTTCAAGCCGAGGGCCTGACTGGTTTTGGATATAACCTATTGAACCGAGACCTAACACTGTGTACTGTAAATGAATAATACAATGTTTTTGTATGGCTCTGTTGGTAATTTCAAAAAGAAAACACATGTCCTGAACATTCAATGAATAATCCAATATGTTCTTACTGGATTATTCCTCCCGGGGGCCAAGACAATTCATTCGGGTTTTGACTTTGACACCCATGATATAGGACAAAGCGCTTATTTGTGTACATGGTTTGCTATGTATGTACTTGCAAATGTATTCCAATGGGGTTTTACTGCAAATGACAAAAAAACATGATTCATTCACCTTTCTACTTAATATTAAAACTATGCTATGGATCATCACTATCATTACCAGACAATAGGTCGTAAAAAGTAAAAGGCTGTATCTTTTGCAGCACTGGTCAGAGGAAAGTGGAAGTCGTTTTTTTTGACATAATAGAGTTTGAAAACAAAAGTCCCAAGGTCAGGTGCAATTGAAACCCGGTCTCTGCTCCTCTCTGTCCTGTGCAGTCGGAGGTGATTGTTGGTGCCACTGGACCCTTTACAATGCACACATCTAAAAAGAGAAGCGCTCACGGACACAATAGCTGGAAGACAGGAGAGCCGCCGGTGTTTCCCTCTGTCCATGAGTCTGCTCTGTAAGCACTTCCATCCTGTGAAAGCCCCCAACACTGTAAAAATAGAAAAATAACAAATAATACCAAATAATGAGTTGTATGTTTGTGATAATAAGCATAATTTAAATGGGGCAGAGTGGTGGATAAAATAAGCCATGAGATCAGTCCTGGTTTGAATATGTTTGTATAAAAAAAAAAAAAAAAGAGAATGCTATAATATCTGCAAATCATGTGGTGTTTCTGTGTGACAACATTTCTTTGAATTCATTGATTAGTCGACAATGGACTGTGCAGCTTAATGTAAAAACACTTAAAAAATATGAATCAAAAATGTGTATAGAAATGTTATTGGCTTCTTGGGACGAATATTGCAAATTAGTGCCTATAAATGTTGTAGTGTTGATTGTGTACACTTGTCCCTATCAAATAAATACATAAAATACTTTGAATTAGCAGTATATGGGACTTTGTAGATTGCATGTCGTCTATTTGTGCATATATATGTTTTTAAATCAGTTGGTGTGCAAAAATAATGCCCAAAGTGAAAAAAATAAGAAAAAATAGGTCAACCATAGTTTTTCATAAGCAAGAAACAAAACATTTTTCATTAGTGCAATTATATCAGTTATTATTATTATTATTATTCGCCCCGTGTTATTTTTATCTTGTTCCGAGAGCTCTTCTATTCCTACTGTCTGAAATGCACTGCAACACTGAAATGTCCTCCACAGCGGAAAGATGAAAGGTGATTGTATCTTATCAAGCATTTATCATGTTTTCAGTGGATACAGTGTTGTGTTAGCTTTATGGGGATGCAAAGCTAAATACAAACACTTGAATTGCAATTTTGTATTTTTTCCAGTGCAATGGACTAAGAAACCAAATACATACTTTGGGCTTTCACTTTTCGTTGAGACACAGGACAGATCGTTTTGCTAACAGCTTCTTTCCATAAGCATTTATCAGTGTCAACAAAGCCCTTTAATGATCTTGCACTTTTTAAACTAATTTTGTCGTTTGATTTGCCTTGTTTTATGTACAGTATGTACTTGTCTTTTATGCACACTGGGGACCTTTACACATGTATTCCAATGTGGTTTTACTGCAAAATCCATAAAAAAAATCTGAATCTGAATCTTTTTTTCTCACAAAGATTGCACTGTGTACGTAACTCACCGCCGCTTCCGTGCTGAACACCCCTCGGCCTGGTCCCCTTTCAATACCAGTAATTTCCTCCTAATTCTAGTCATTTAAGCTCATTTAAAGAAACCTTCCCTTTTCTTTTCTTTTTTACAGTGTGGGCCTCCACCTGCTGCTGTGGTGTCGTCCCAGTCTGCTCCCCTCCTCCCGCTCCCTGCACCTCTCATCCCACTGGCGCCAGAGCTCGATGGGCCCTGCACTTTGATTATTTGTGTTAACAGTTCATTTAGCCTCACGAACACATGTGCCAAAGCTGGCTCCACTTCCTCATGCATCACCCACCAATGGGACTTTTATGAGTTGCTTTTCACAGGGCCACCTCCAGCACACGACCCCCACCCTCCCTCTCACACTCCAAGCAAACTTCCCACTTCGCCCCTCTCTCTCTCTCTCTCTCCCTCTCTCTCTGGGTTCTTACTCTTCAACTCTTCGCCTCCTCCCTCCTCGCCGCCTACACACGCCGTTTATTCCGTTTTCTCCAACATCTCTAATCTCTTCAGCATCTCTAATCTCTTCCACATCTTGCCTGAGAGGGTTATTTCTGGCTCCTCTGATCCCAGATGTTTGCATTACAAGGAATACCTTTTGTTTCAGTTTTAATCGTTGTGAAAATGAGAGCGATTCGGGCTGTGGAGGGAGGTAATATTTAGAATGGGATCCCAAAAATAATGTGTACAGACTGGAACAGGAAACAAATTATGATGCAAAGTTTAGCTTTATATACAAAAAAAAGGTCTAAAGTGAATTCTTGTGTGGAATAGTCATTTTTTGTGGTTGATTTTCAGATTCTGATTCATTTTATTGTCATATGCAGCAAAACCAAATTGAATGTCTTCTTTGTATATCTATAATGTATGTTTATGAGAGTTAGAATTGATAGAGAGAAAATGATGCTAATCCACTACAGTTTGTGGATAATAATGGGCGTAGAAATCACCATCAGCTAATTAAGTGTATGTAATAACTAATGGGAAAAAATATAGAAGCACCCCAGTGTGCACTAGACATATATATAACATTTTTGCTACTTTTGTATTTTTCTGTATTTTGTATTGTGTATGTCTGTGTTCGTATGGTGTATTTTTGTGCGATCCATGAGCACTGGCAGAACAATGGTTGGTGGTCTGTGCAGCACTTTGTAAAGGCTTACTGGAGTGCTGTCGAAAAATGGAGTGGATGAAAGTAGATGGAGCCTAGACTACTGCTGTTCAACTGAATTTTCCCAAGAGCCAGATCTTTCATGTAGTGCTTTGGACTCTGGGCCCCGTAAAGGCACATATATCAGCGACACTGTTAGGGGAAACAGAGCATAACCATAATGAATGTGTTTTAATAATAATTTCATCACTGCATCTGCCATATTTTGTAAAATCAATAAAAGGCAAAACGTGTATAAGGTTTATCCGTCTTAGAAATACTGAACCAGCATTAATATTCACTCATTTAAACCATGAGTATTTGTGAGTTGTGAAAAAAGTATAGAAAGATAAACATTATTCGACACAAATAAGTGCATGAATATTTGTAACTATATCAATGTAGCTATTATGAAAAACCCTTGTGGCTCCATGAACGTGATAATGCATTATATATTGTGCCTTTTTGGACACTTTACATTATTCAGTTATTCATTATCCGGCCCGCCCCACTGGCACCTGGTGTTCCCAGAGGTCTCCCATCACAGTACTAACCAGACCCTGCCCTGCTTAGCTTTCACATGCAGGTATGTCCACAATAGTTGCAGCAGGGTCTAAGGACAGGGGTTGGTTATCCGCCCCCTATGGACCAATGGCTCCTATGTGTTTGTTATTATTGCATCTCCTGTGTTTTGTATCTCTCTCTCCCCTGATTCTCTGATCTGTGTTGGCGACTACTTTGTAAAGTCCTTCAAGACGACTACCGTTGTGACTATGCAAAAATAGATTGAAATGATTTGAAATGGAAGAAGATGCTGTGGTCAGATAAGATTCAAATTTAACTTTTTGGATCCAAATACAAAAAGTTATGGCACAAAACTAACACATGCTCATGACCCTCAGTCCCCATCCCCGGAGTGGCAGCATCATGTTGTGGAGTCAGGGAAGAGTAGATAGGGATGGATCAAAAATACAGGGCCATCTTGGAGAAAAAGCTAGAGTCAGCAAAAGTGTTGAGGCTGTGGAGGTTTTTCTTCCCAAAACATATGAATGTGTTAGAATGTGTCTGTGGAAAGACCTGAAAACTGCATGATTGTCAGATTACTGGGCTCTCCATCTGCAGTAATCTTACAGAACTTTCTTCATACCCCAAAGTATCTGCTCCTGTGATTGCAGCAAAACTGGGTTCCACAAAATATGTTATATGAATACTCTGAATAATCGTGCCAGCCCCAAAAAAAGATCCAAAACTTAAAATAGATGGTGGGCTGTAGGCCGGGTCTATTGTGGCCCTTGTCTGCAGAATCGACATGTCTTTAACCAAGTTTATTTTTCACAACCACCAACATCCCAAAACTTTTCACAGCATTAACAAAAATCAGATCCTCTTGTGTGTTGGCCTTTTCTCCTCATGCACCTCTGCCTTTTATAGCCGCTGATAAATGCCTTAAGATGCTTCAGGGCTCGGGGACCACTGTGAAAAGTCAAATGTTCCACGTATTACGCCCAAGCCCGGACCATGACCTGCACTTTTTCAGTATTAGGTGACAGCGAGATATAATCTAGCGTTATAAAAAGCTCCAAGGAGTCCAGCCGCGGTCTAGAGAGAGGTTGTAGAGCCGACCGGGAAGGCTTTGTCAAATTATTCCTCTGTGGAACTTCAACCTGGGTTATTTTTCCTCAAAGTATAGTTCTTATGTTCTTGCTCCTTACACTTACAGCCTGCTATATGTGCCCCTGTGTTTGTATTTTATGAAGAGGCATCTGCAAGAACCAATATTTATCCAGTAAAATGGTGATTTCTTCACTATGCCCAATAGAAAATGTACAAATGACAAATATTGAGCTGCCAAATGTATTGTTCCAGTTACTGTGTGATGGTAGGCCCCATTTAACTTTGGTTCTTGTTTAACGCTGAGTCAATATAGTAAAAACAAGGCCACGCATTTTTACAGAGCTTTTATGGGTTTTATGTTTTGCCATCACATCCCATCTACACATTGGATTTCAGCTCAAATCGTCCTTTATATTTATTTTGTTTGCACGATCTTGCCTATAAACAAACACACATACACACAGAGAGGAACGCACACACAATCTAAACACGACTTATTATTGTATTTATAGGTTTAATTACACGCCAGCAGTTGTATGTATAGCATGTTTGATTACGTGCCACTTCAGAATCTCCAATCAAAGGTTCACGCTTTCGTCCCTATCACACCAGAGCAAGCACCCTCTCCAGCTCTCCTTCCATAGTCCAGTGCAGTCCAGACTCTAGTGCAATCATTTAATTGTCAAAAGATAGAAAAACAATAAATAACAATAAAACAACAAAAAAACAACAAACAAGATTCAAAAAATTAAAAAAACAGCAGTACAAAGTTTGGATGAAAGCAGAGTTGGGTTTCTCACTCATTCAACACAACACAAAGCGCACACACACAACACAAAGCACGCACACACACATACTTAGACAAAACAAAGGCCCAAACCCTCTCCCCCCATCACTTTCTCAATTTGGATTTTTCAACAGAATCAAAGTTGAACATGTGATAAGTTGTTTCTCCTCGCACTTAATTACAAAATAGTCGTTAAAAAAATATATTTGGCTTCCTCTGAGTTTGCAAATACACTGAAGATGTCTCTACCGTGTTGCAGCCCGCCCTTTGGCTCAATACCCTCAGCTTGTATAACAA